TGGATTTTAACTTTTATCTTAATTAAGGAAGCATATTACAATATCGATACAGCAAACACCGTCAAAATACTTTCAGTAGATATTGCCCATGGTTTCGTGGCAAAAATATTAATATTTCGCTTCGGAACGATCGGAAGCCGTATGTTGTCGAAAGTCGCTTACCAGATGGTCGGAGGCCTTTATAGTCACTGAGACGTCAATATATATTTTCTTGCCAAATTTGGTAGCGTAACCGATGCATTAAAGAAACCGTTATTCCTTTTGTCTCGGGAGTGGGATACGAACATGCGAACGTCTTTACGCCCTAAAAATTAAATACCCAACGAGTGAGGGCTGTCAATTTTTCATAGACATATTTACAAAGAGTATGCAAAAGAGTCAGTGCGTTTATTGTATTTTCAGTCGTTTGCTTGTTGTATTTTGAGCCTTTCAGAGTTTATGTAATTTTTCTGTCAGTTTTTCATAAACATATTTACAAAGAATATGCATGAGTTAGATCGTTTATTGTATCATTAGTTGTTTTCCTTGTTGTATTTTGAGCCTTTCAGAGTTTCTGTAATTTTGCTTGCGAGACATAATAAAGAGGGTCGCACACGGCTCAAGTCGACACACCCCAACTATGAATGCTTCTTACATGATAAATGTTTTATATTCGTTTGAGCGGGGTGGCTAATTAGGATATAAATAGTGAGTTTCGTTTTTGCGATTCATTGAAGTCTCGTTTGCTAAGAAGAATAAATTGATAGTTCATATCTTTGAATGAAAAGAACGGATATGAATGTGACTAGTTCAAAATTGGCGAGGAATAATCTTGCCACGTTCAAAGGAAGTTCTACGGAACTTGAAAAGCTATACATTTAACGCTTCAGATTCGTCATTTCCACCCGTCAAATTGGCCTTCTCCCGGTTGTTTAAGAATCTCTTCACGTCAGCTCATTTACATTGTAAACTCAGTTGATAAAACCAATTAAATTATCTCGTGATACCCCCCTACTGGCGCAGCATCATAGTTTATTTAGAAACTTACTTCCTTTTACGACAGTTTTGTCTCGTTTGTGTTTAATTACACTTACAGAATTATACCAAGTTTTATTTCGTTCACGTTGAAAATGGTTAGCTCGACCTTGCGACGAGCTAACGCCTTCACTAGTACTTTCAAGATCTCATTTGTAATTCTCTTTACTGTCTGCCATTCAATCCTTGTACGCGTGTGATATTGTGTTAGAGATTATATCTAACACTCTTGTATAGTCTTCATTGCCTCTGTAAATAGCTCAAACAACTTGTTAGCTCGGGTTTTAACGCATTATCTATAGGAAGATAGATTGTCGGTTTCTAGCTAAAAAAGATGGCAGTTAGCAAGCTGTCAATATTTGATCAACGTCACCATTCCTCGCTTCACTTGTGCATCACTCTGAGTTACGTATAACATTTCCCGCATACTAAGTATGTACCTTCAGTTTGTTTACTCTTTCCAAAATAACTTTCTACCTAAAAATGTTCATACTTTTCCCTTGGCTCAGCAAAAATTACTTCCGTACCACACACCATCCAAATCCGGTTAATTTTGGAAGAAGCCAATTTCTCAACGTGAAAATAAAAAACACTGAGCTGAGATAAAGACGCTGAGATGAGCTTTTTTATGAAACGGCTGAGCGATTTCTTTCAGAGCGTAAAATCTCCTTTAACTTGAGAGAAGACGCTACAAATAGTGACTTAGGATAATTCTGAAGATTGCAGATTGGAGAATCTAGGATCAAATGATAGAGCTCTTGGTAACTAAGTTCTAAAACAATTAGTAATTTGGCGCTGATAATTGATACCTTAATTTCTCTAGCGCATTAGATCAAAAAACAGCGTTTGAATAGACCTCCCCGATTTCCGCTCGACAAGCTACTTTCTGGATTACGTGATGTTTGAACAATTTTACAACCTCGATATTCTAGCTAGCAACTTGCTGGATTTTAACTTTTACCTTAATTAGAAAGCATATTACAGTATCGACACACTAAACACCATTAAAATACCCATGTTTCATGGAAAAAATATTAATTTTACATTCCGGAATGGTCGGAAGCCATATGTTGTCGAAAGTCGCTCACCTGGAGGTCGGAAGCCTTCATAGTCGCTGAAACGAGTTTGTATATTTTCGTGCCAGATTTAATAGCATTACCGATGCATTAAAGAAACTGTGATTCTTTTTGTCACAGGAGTGGGACAAGGACCGACTATGTAATGCATTAGCTTCTGAAACTACTAAATTTCAAGTTGCAATTTCGAGTCACGTATTTCAAAGTTGTTCGAACAACTGATAAGGTCTTAGCGGATTAATAGAGATAGTTATTTTGAGAAATCTTGCTTTCGATATGAATTTACTCCAAGGTCATCCTTAAGCGTCAAGTCGCAATTGTGGCATCGTTAAACATCAGTTAAGGATCAGTCATTATTTCTCTCTCGGTTGAGTGGTTAATGGTTGGACGTCAATGACTAGTTCAATGAATTCATCATGGGTTACGTAACCTATTGTGTGGGGTGTTGCATGGTATGTCGTTCATTGCGAACCGTTGCCTCCATTCATATTCATTCGCGTCATACGAAAGTATTTGCGCCCTCAAAATTAAATACCCAACGAGTGAGGGGTGACAATTTTTCATACACATATCAACAAAGCGTATGTATATTCATTCACGTTAAAAATGGTTAGCTCGACTTTGCACTGAGCTAACGCCTTCACTAGTTCTTCCAAGATCTCATTAGTAATTCTCTTTACTGTCTGCCAATTAATTCTCTTGATATTGGTTGGGAAAGTTTGGTATCAGATCAACAAATAATCTCCTAATTAATTGATTTGTGTATATATGTGTATATATATATATTCTTCTGTCGGCAGTTGCAAGTTTTTGTGTCTTTTGTGTTGGTGTTATCTGCGGTTTCATAGATGTGTTTGAATGAATTTAAAATGCGTTTGTCGATGATCCTTTTTAATGTTATTCATACAGCCGTAATTGATTTTGATTACGTTACGATTTAAGATTTTTCTAGATTGTGGTCTTTCGGAAAGTGCCTGTCTACTTGGACAAGGAGTACGATTTTGGTACTGACGTTTTTGCTGAGTGGGAGGTTGTACCAGAGTATGTTGTTCCGTTCTTTTTTTACGCCAAACGGAAAAACAGACAACGGAACAACATACTCTGGTACAACCCCCCATTCAGCGAAAACGTCAGCACCAATACAAAAAGCGCATTTCTTAAAAAGTGGGAAAAGTGAAGCTGACAGAGAAACGTAGCCAGCGCAGCCGACTGGTTTTTTTTTTTAAATTTTATTTATTTATTTTTTACAATAAAAGATATTCAACTATCCCATATCGCAAGATGTTTGTATCCGATGTGCACGTTATTTCTACTCTTTTAGTGTAGGTAAATAACGATATTCTTTATTCTCATCACTTGTCCACTTGACATTGTCTTCATGGTGTAAGGAGAAATTCTATTTTGGTCAGTCATGGAAAGTTAAAGGTTATAAAAAGCTGAAGTCGTATTTGTTAACTTTTGATATAAGACTGGACAAAATACACGATGACGGGATTCCTTTTCGTTATTCATTTTTTTTAGAGGAACTTATACTTTCTTTGTGGTTTGGTGTTTTCCCTTAACGTAACTTTTCCTCTTCAAGTACGAAATAACAACTTGGTACTCCACAAACGGAAAAAAGCCGGCGAATTAGTGGTAATGAAGATCATTAGAGAGACAAAGTATTTAAGTGAGGTGTGGCAGGAAATGCTTAAGTTAAAAGGTGTCACGAAACGTAGAATCCTTCTTTGGCACGTACAAGATCCTTTAAATTAAAAGGGATCTTGAAAAATAAATAAAGCAGATAAGCATTCGAATTAAAACTCGTCCAAAAATTAAAGGGAATTACACAGGATTGTTTTCGGCGAAATCAAAGTAGCGTGCTGTCAGCCGAATTCAGTTTCTTGCGAAATTGACATGCTCCAAAGGTGGAGCAACATATTCCGTTTACCTCGTAAGTGGGGCAAGGAGAGTCTAAATTTATATTATGACCACTGCTGTTTAAATAACCGTTTATTTCACTGTGAAAAGTACGTTCTGACTTCCTTGGAGTCAATAAGTTGGCCCACAGCCATGTTTGGGCATGCACTGGAAGGACTGTTCATTTGGAAGCACCAGGCTAGACTCTCTATCTGTTCTTCCCAGCCGTTTTCCCATTCCCTTTCATCTTCATAGTTTGTTTTAGGATCAGGGGCTTTTGTTAAATTACTATTTCCCTAAAGAAAAAAAACAACAACAAACAACAAGTCCTAAGAGGTTTGAACTCATCACTTACCCAGCTAATAGACGTCGCCAGACAGATAAAGCGCACACAAAGGTGATTTTGGAAATTAGCTGAATGATTAAACGTATAGCGAGACGAAATTTTACGCTTGTTACATTGTCCTCTCTTGTTCTTCAGGTACCAGCCATGGGGAAGTGGGGGAGAGGAGGGGGGGGAGGGGCGGTAAGGGGTTGATTATGTCACGATAAAATTTACCTGATCTCTCAATAGGTTTCTGTAATATTCTGATGATCCCTCTCATTGGCAGTTAATTTTCAATAAGAACCGCTATATACTCCCATTGCGACGACTGATTTCTCCTTTGTTCACCCTGAAAACAATGCAATCCACAAAAATTCTTTTCCGCCCCCCCCCTCCCCCTCTTCGCTTGCCCTTAGGCAATAAATTCATTTATCAAAGAAGTTTGATGGAACAAATTGCGACAAAGACAAGTTAAGATGACTCAAAACTAGTTAGCAATTAAGATAAGTTGAGATAAGCATCCCATATTACTTGACGAATATAACAGGTCACCTGCAAACTAAACCGAAAAACGAGGCAAGCCGGGTTGACTTTCGAAGACTCTGCAAGAAGCCCACAAGGCGGTCAGCCAAAGAGACGCAGCTCGCTGAACAGAGTCTGGCGAGCGACAGACCTATCAAAAGCGTTTCTCGTAGTTTGTAACTATTTGAACGTAATAGATAGCTTAAAAAAATTGAAGAAACTTCAAGTATCGACGGAATAGTCTTCTCCGAGAATTTTGCTTACTTACCGCTTTGAATGTTCCGTTATCTCCAACGTTTCCCAAAAAGTGAAGTTCCATGTGTGGGTTGAAAAAAGACGCCAAAGTCGCCACACTTGACTCTGCATGAAGAAAATGTCCGCATTTGGCAAGGAGTAAGATATCAATGAGAACCTGGGACCCACTTTCAATTGCATCGATACCGTTTACTTGACCGTTGATTGGTCTAAGAGACTGGTACTCGTCTGCTCTCATGGCTGCGGTGTATACAACCTGAATTGTAAAAGAATGTAACCAGGCTTACTTTTACAAGTTTTAATAGTGACCCATCTATCTCTGCAGAAACTTGCTTTTTTGATTGCGTGTAACAGCGGAATAGAGTGGAATAGCTGTTCCGAGTGAGCAAAGTATTGGTATGCACAAGGTACCCTATATAATTTTGTCGTGCTCTTAAAAAAATAAGATAAGAGAAACAAAGAAAAGAAAGGAAACGAATAAAGGAGAAAAGAAAGAAGGAAGGGAAGGGAAAAAAGGAAAGAAAGAAAGAGAGAGGGAATTTAGGAAGAACCGAAGGAAAGAAAAAAAGAAAGAGAAAGAAAGGAATTTAAGGGGGAAGGAAGGAGGAAAGGAGAGAAAACAAAAGGAAAGAGGGAAAAAGAGAAAGGAAGAAGGAAAGGAAAAGGAAAGAAAGCGGGAAAGAGATCGAAAGGGAAGGAAAGAAAGCGAGGATCAATATCAGTATCTGGGCAACTGCCCACTTACCCCTCCCCTAACCCAACATTAACCCTAACTTGTTATCAATTGACTGTTGTTGGGTTAGGGGAGGGGCAGGTGGGCAGTTTCCCAGATACTGATATTGATCCGTAAGCGATACAAAAACCAATACTCCTCACTCCAATTTGACTTAGAAATAAGTAAACGGTGAATTTTACCATATCACGCTAATATATAGATGGCGTCAAACCAAACTACAATTTATCATCGGTGATTTACAATTGAACCATTATATCAGAAAGTAACAACCATACCTTTTCCTTTTCAAAATATTCTACAAATCGGTGAACTATCTCATTATTGTCACTGGCCAAGAATATTTTCTTAGGCTGTTCAAGGGTTTTGAATACTGCTTCTGCATCTTGAATCCACTTCTCCATTGCAGGTAATTTCTTTTCTTCCATCTCTAGCATGTGGTCGATTCCGCGCACGTGGACACCTAGCATGTTATATCCGTTCATGTTTTCCATGTAAAACTGGTTTACACGAGACTGAATACTTTCCTGAGGTCGAACGTATTCGCCTATCAGACCATGGACCCATTTCCTTAATTCTGCTGTTATAACGGCACCTTCCTCGTAACCAGGCAAACTTTGACGTTTTCTAAATCCAACCTCTAATAGAGAACTTCTCAAGATTCCATTACTTTGAGACTTCTTTTCTTGATTGAAATAAGGTAACTTAGCAGATTCCTGTACAAGGACGTTTCCTACGATAATTCCTCCTAAACAAAGAACCTTCTTGGCGTTTAGCTCAGCTCCAGTGTTTAAAGGCTCGAAATAAGCTGACCAGGAATTTTCCTGAGGATCCTTTGCACAGCACGACTGACAGTTCTTCCAGTGAATGGTCACCTTATCTATTCCCAACATGCGACAGTACGACACATGATCTAAGGTAGCCAAAAGCAAGGCAGCAAATCCAACCTCTAAACACTCTAAGACTGTTGGCTCCGAAACGCAGACAGAAGTATCCAAAGATGAGTCTCTTTGTTTGCCTTCACGGACTGCGGCAAAGAATCCTCCTTGGAGTTCTTTAAGAACTAAGTTCGTCACATTAACTTTCAAAGGTCTGTTCAAGTTATTCTTTATACCTAAATGGCTTTTTCCTTCCGTCTTTGGTCTACTCTCCTCTGTTATTTGGTGCTCATTAGAAAAAGCACGTAGTTTACAATGTGATAGAAATTTCCAACAAATGTCCTCAGTAACTTGGGCTGATTTTAAATATAGCAAAAGTGCACAACCCACGAGCATTACGACGGAACAATCCATCAAACGAGATAGTTTAAAGCACATATTGAGGATGGCTAGCCGTCACACGCAGATGAGATTATTCCCTAGAGTCAGTTAGATAGATAAGTTCAGTGATTTTCAGAAATCGGGTGAACAGTCTTCGATAAGTCTTTCCTCAACGGCTACAATTCTTTTGCGGTAGCCAGTTTCTCAGTGTCCTCGTTTGACGTTAGTTTCTTGTCTAAAGCGGAAAAGAAAGCAAAAAAGGAAACAGAATCATTTAAACATCAAATAATAACTAGCGATGGGTTATATTTTAAAACCAGGTAAAACAATTCGAAAAAAAAATTATACAGAAAAGGTTTAAAGCCGGTAGTGGTTGTAATAAATCGTTAACCCGGATCGACCGAATGGGCTTCTCCTGTAAAGGATCGCTCTGTTTGACAGTGCATGCATCCAAGGGTAGGGTCCGGAGGGTTCGGACAACACTAACTGCCCCATACCTACCCCCATCAGACCTGAAGGTTTTTTTACCACTTGTCTGAAACAAAATTCTCTTAGCAAAAGGATCGCATATTAAAGATAACCGACGGCTAACAGGTCACTTTTTCGGAATACCGTCTAAATGCCTCGGGTAAGACATTGAAACAGGCACAAGGTGTTTCGTATGCCTCTTGGTGCCTTTTTTCGCCGGGAAAACCTTCATAAATGCTGCTTCACAAGTCATCCGCCGTAAACGCACATTTTGATCATGTGACCTTTACGTCACACGTATGTACATTAAGCAAAGTAAATATGGTGGATAGTACTTCGAGTAAAAGCAGTTCTATTTCGGGGTCTGATTATTCGGATTTTGAAGCCTCGATGGAAGGTGAACATAATAAAAGGGTTTATGAATCTGTTTGTGGAATCAGGCCTTGGATATTTGAACCACCAGGACGAACGTAACCTAAAACATTGCGCGAGAGTCAAAAGAGTATCAAGAGCCCGTGCACCGCGGCCGCCTCAATTAAGAAACCGAGAATAGTGAGTGCATTTACGATTGTAAATAAAGTATCTGAAAATCAGTCGCTTATTAAATTTAGGAGCGATCAAGTAAAGAAAACCAAATGTGCAGACTCTTGAATACCATGGGAGCGAAGTGTTTTTATGCCACACGCACGCACCTTCCGAAGCTAAGGTTTCACTGACTGAAAATATAAACATGCACGCTTGTAGAGGTTGTTATAACGTCGTAAAGAAAAGAAAAACTTGTATCTTCGATTGAATTGGATGGATTATATACGTTTACACGCGATTGAATCGGTTTTAAGTTTTCCTGTGTTAAATTTGGCAAACGATTGAAGATTTCTCGGCTTTTACTTTAAAACACGATGCAGCAATAAAGTAGCATTCGCACATGTAGAATTGTAAATAAAGTAAAGTAGTCTTAAGTTTGAGTTATCTCTCACGTCTGTGACAGTTACAGAGCTGATAACTGTCCCTTTTGGTGAAACCAGTCTTACAAGTTGAGCTCTATATTTCTTCTATTCACTGAACATCGTGAAAAAAAATGGCTACTTTACTGATTTTTTTTATCACAAGGTGTCAGTGTAAAAACTGCCAATCAGTGAGGAGGGGGAAGAAAACATCTTTTGCCAAGAAGTAGATGTGGTCAAAAATAAAAATTTGTTGGACGTTACATTGGAACAGTTGCAGGCAGAAGCCAGATGTATTGTTCAGCATCCAGGGTTTGAGGAAACTGGTGAATGCTGACTCCGTCTACATTTGTTTTGTTACACTATCACTACAGCGCTTCCCTGGTTTTCATTTTCTTTGTTAACGGTGGGTGCAATGTAGTCTCGTGACATGTGCTTTAATGGTTTCCTCTTTCAGGCTGTCGGCTTGTTTTATCTACGATAAACGAGCGCGAGTAACTTACTGTTCACTTGGCTGACGAGTAACCTTTCGGACAGGATTGATTTCATCATGTTTCCGGTCGCAAATAAGAAACATCGCTTGAGTGTGGCGCTCATAACATGGCGTTTCTTGTAACATCCGTTTACAGTATGTTTTTCCAATGACAATTTGGTTTTCAAAGACGGTATCACTGTTTCTCGACAAAGCTGTTTTCAGAACCGGTTTGTCGGTTTGTCGGTTTGTAACCTAGTTACCAGCCATGAAAAGATAGGCTTAATAAATAAGCTGACTTGATGGCATGGAGAGGAAAATATCAGTCACCACAGAAGATCAACAAAAATAATATACCGATCGTGGTAATATGACGAGCCTTATCAGAACATTGATAAAAACTTGAAATATAAATCGCAATAATAATAATAATAACAGTAATTTGAAAAAAGGAAAAGAAATAAACATAAGGAAAAACGGAGAAAGCCGAAATCAATCCAAGTTTAAATCTCCAAATATAAAGACCCGTTTCCTGTTTTCTGCGGTGCATATTTAGGCTAATTGTGACATCAGAAGTCTTACCAGAAGTCATACGAACGCCTGCCATTTGATAAAGTGGCGTTCAATTTATGTAACTTAGCTTGTTGCTAGCTTAAGGAAATTATGTAAATAAGAGTGATTGATTAAACGAATGCCGAAATATGATCGCGACTGAACAAAAATTTCATCAACGAAACATTTTTAGTCGAAAGGGCAACTTACAATATCCAAGCAAGTGAACAGTCGTTCAAAACAGAGCGTATTCAGCCGCCTGCGAAAACTTTTGAGTCTTTCCTGCAGTTGTATTCGATATGCCAGGATGTCCACTCTGTTTCACACGCTTAATTAACACTTCATAAGCGTAGTAACCTAATAAACACAAGCTAATATCCTCGGCTTCGATTACTGGTTAGGATCGTTTACCTTGCGTAGAACGAAATAGAAAATTTCGCTACCTGTCATGAGATCATCCGAGTGAATGTAACACCACAGCAAAAATACGCACTTTGCATATCGTATGTGCAGAGTACACTGTCGACCGTCGCTTATTTGGTGGCTTAAATATCGATTTGCGACCCCAGCTGACCTTTTATGTCTACGCGAAAGAGTCATTACCTCGGTCCATCCACACACACACACACACAATACAGTTCCCGGCGCCACATTGAATTAGTAATCGCGCACACACGACAACGAGGCTGGGGTTGTTCCCATTTTGTTTACCAAGATGTATTTTAGATTGCCATTTGACTACAAGATTACCCGTGAATAAAACTCAACGGTCATGAGAATTAGGGAAATGATCAATAACTAAAGAAGCTTTGATTGTTATACAAATTCTCCTTTCCAGAACCCTAAGAAATGTATAAAGAAAGTATAGAGAATATGCATACTGATTTTAGGGTGTAGAGGGTTAACCTTTTAACTCCCATGAGCGACCAAGACAGAATTTCTCCTTACAATACCAAAACAATATCAAGCAGACAAGTTATGAGAATAAAGAAAAATATCAGTTAGGAGAATATAAGTTGATCCAATACCAAATCCTCCAAACTAACATCACAAGAACTGTATGGGAGATAGTAAGGAGAATTACAAATGAGATCTTGGGAGTTAAAGAGTTTTAATGTAAACGGACGACTAGAAAAAGGTTCGTGTGTTCACTTTTTAGCTAAAATCCACAAACCTAACAATCCAGGTCGACCCATCGTCTCTGCCTGGAGAACTTATTTTCTGTTGTTTAGACAAAATTATGGCTCCTATCGTCAAAACTTCACCATCATACATTAAAGACTGAGTCAACACGCACTTGAAATTTTTCGCGACTCCAATTTAATATTCCTGGTCAAGACAAACTTTTTTTCACTAAGGATTTTACATCTTTTTATGCTTTCATTCCCAATGACGAAGGTCTCCTGGCCCTCAAACAATTTTTATAATCAACGCACTGTTATGGAACCTAGCTCTGAAACGTTACTCCGCCTAGCCAAACTAGTGCTAATACTCATTTGCTTTTCATTCGGTGGCAACTACTATAAACACACACACGACCCACAATTCCTCCATTCGCTCTGACAAAGGACTAACGCTCGAAACGTCAGCTTTGAAACTCTTTGCAGTGGCCAATTTACGTTATCAACTCAGCTGATAACTCCAAATTACCCGGTTCTCTTGCAAATCGTTTTTTTTTAAATTGAATTTGAATACAATATCAAAATACGTATATGGGAATGGACAGAAGGGCTCCTGATAAGATGCAACAAATGTATCGAACAAATGCATCAAGTAAATATACTTATGCTAATAAATATATTTAACAAATATCTCTAACAAATATATAGAGCAATTTGATAATAAGGACCGGGTCACACTAAGGCAAATTCAAATATTTTAATTGTTTTCGTGAATGAAAAGATTCGCAAAAAATTCACAATTCCTAAATTTTGGTGGCAGTTGCATCACACTTATATCCTTTGACCAAAACTTCACTGATTGACTCATACGTCATTCTCAAACCCATCTCGTTCTCCGGCAAGATGAAAAAACATCTCGCACGAATAACTACGCAAGAAAGGATCTTTTCAAGTTCGTACGAAACTTTTGCGTTTTGCTCGCTGCTTGCTCTAATGTGCTGGCGTTGATACTTGCGATAGAAGGATAATTTCTCGTTGAAGCCATCTGTTTTCCAAATTGCTCCGAATGACTGGAACCCAAGGTACGAGTCTGAGACATTCCAAAAAAAAGTTTTTCTCGTTTCCATCGAAAGAAAAGGGTCAGATGCTGACCATTCCTGTCATCGCGCTTCAAATAAGACAGCGAAATTAAGTCATTTTTTCCGCTGAAATTTTATCCCAACATGTCTTGCGTAGCATGACAACTAAATGGTGTGGGAAAAAAAAATGATAATTTGTTTTGACATCTCTTTCCCCAACCCCTCCGGTTTTGTTTGTGTTGTGGCTTCGATTCTAATTCCGCACTGAAGGGTGACCTCATGTAAAATATGAAGTCTGTGAATGAACTTTCAAAGCTCTTGCTTACTGCTTAAATTAGGGTCAATATGAACCTTATACAGATTAGATATCTCGCTCTGTAAGGCTCGTCATCAAGTTACAATTTACCATACACTTCTGGGGCGCAATAATCTTAAGATTCTGACGATGCCAAAGTTCTATACTGACTCTTTACTAGCTTGTGAGTTTTTATTACTGGATAAAATATTTACCGCCAAACGAATACTTACAGACAAACTTCCCACAGAATATGGAATCCAACTGTTGATAATCGCGTGCTCACAGCCTATTAGATGGGGCATCAGGGCCTATTAGAAACCGCAAAACCGTAGAAAAAATCATTTAAAACCGAAAAACCGAAAAAAAATTCGATCAAAACCGAAATCCGCATGCGAAACTGTCAAAACCGAACCATTTTTCAAATCCCAGTTATTAATAGAAGCGTGAACCCCCAAGAGATACTTACGATATTTCAATTGGCTTGCACAAAAACCGAAAAAACCGATCCAAAATATAGCCAAAACTGCAAAATCGAAAATCCCCATGCCCCCCTCCTATAACTACGTCTAAAACACACTGCTGAAATTAAATGATCATGCTTGACTTTAACAAGTTATATTTCGTTTTGATTTCATACTAGATTTCAATGCTAGAAGATCCCATGCTTGAACGATTTATTTGCCTTTGCAATCAAATATAATACTATGATTTAGCAATCCTTACCTTTCAAAGACTTAGTCAAAGTCACAATTTCTTTAAAGTGTGATGCAGTTTACGAATCACGGAATGTGGGCATTGCAAACAGCCACCAAGTATTATCTTTTTAAAGATGATTTTCAAAGCAAACATAACCTGGCGCTTTGTTTAGCAATGTTTGGATCAATATCAGTATCTGGGCAACTGCCCACCTACCGATACTGATATTGATCCATTGTTTCGTATTTTATCATTGACGTCGCCACTTCTCACTTTATTGATTAACAAAAGAAAAGTCAAATGATAAAAATTTGAATAGATACTGACTTCGAAACATTTTAGACTTTCGAAATATCTTCTTTTGTTTTTTTTTATGTAGCGTAACTCCGACGCAAGACCGGATTTGTCTATGACAGAAACCAAATAAACACGATGTCTCTAACAAAGATATTCCCTTCCAATCATGAGTGATTTTCCTTAATGGCATATTCTCTTTAAAAAATGATAACCCCGCGAGAGGTCGAGCGTAACTTCAAATGACGTGTTACACATTACGAGCCCAACTCTGCAGGAAATTTATTTTTGCTATCAGTCTTTTACGTTAAGTATTATCAAAGAAATAGATTGAAAAATGTTATTCTGTCTTTTCAGTGGTCAATATATCACGGTTACCACTACACGCTTCAAGAACGTTTATTGGCAACTGAGTCGACCGAAAAATAAAAGTTCAATGCCTTTTCTTAAGTAAATATTTTGCAGCTGTTTCTCAAAGCTGGCACTATTCTGGCGAAAACATGGAGCGTCTTTGCTTTACAGCCCTAATTAAGTATCAATAGGTTTGTTAATTGAAAGTGATGATGGTTGGCAGTAACTTTTGGGTAAGCTCGGTGCAGCTGTGGTTCTTTCATAACCCAGCTGGGGCAAAAAGGTGATCAATATACCAATTGACAAAAGGAAGATAAGAATATATTGTTATTAAGAATTGTTTCTCATGGTATAGACATGTTTACTGTAACATACTGCACGCACTTAAAATGTAAATAAATTCTGCAAAATTTTTGCAATAACACATTCCACACAAGTGATGAAAATTATAGGGACATTCTTACGCAAAACAACGCTAGAAAGAAAAACAAAGAAAGCTAAAAGTGCTAACGAACTGGCGTTTGGAACAACTCAACCTCCCTTGAAATTGCCGTGTCCACGTGGGCCGGGTACAACAATAACAGAAACAATCTCTCCAGCGTAGAAAGAGAGTTTATTTCATACTAACGTTTTACAGTAACATGAAACAATAAGATGAAGGCGAATTTTACGTCAGGCCTTCTTTCTCTGCTGCTACGTTGATGTCAAAGTCCAAGGAACCCTGAATACTTAGGCCTTTACGTGATAAATACACCAACTAATAAACAACTTCTCGGTAAAAGTGAGTTAACCTCCAAACCAATAATTGTAAAATTGTTCGAGATCAGTAAGATATTGAGATGTCTCCAGATCTTCGTCAGGATGGTGGTAATGTCCGTACCCTGTACCATAATTGAAAGATTTCTTCACAGGCTTGTTATTAAAGCGGGAATCCTGATGATTGACAGCGACCTCTCCACTCTTCAATCCGTTGTCTTTTTCTGACTGAACCTGTGCAACTGTTTTTGAGGGAAACGAAATTGTTCTCTCGTGTGGTTGATACGCTCGATATGATTTTCAATCACGCGTGGTCATGCAGGTAGTGAAGACAAATAAAATATTTTTACATGACTTAGGTTCAGGAAATGTCAGAGCATGCTTCGACTCAGCGTCTTACGTCCCAAAGCCCACCTTGGAATTTGTCATTGACTGTCATAAACTGTATATATCATTTTTACTGGGCTCAATTAGAGATGGCTTTATACAGAAATCTTACGGAAGATAAAAGCAGGAGAGGATATTACTTAGTTAATCGAGAACACAATTACAACTATCTTCAATGCATTACGAATCTAGAGGTAAACTCTCTGTCAATAGCGTTCCTTTTTGGAGTTCAGAAACTGGGTTCATTTATTAAATTTGAGATGTAAATTTATTATTCAATACAAACCAAAGAAGATAAACGTGTACCGTGTTCTTTGAATGGTCCGCCACAAATGAACGGGAAACTGGACAGGAAGACGCAGAGCCATAAAGAGTAACTCCTTGCCATTTTCTTTCGCCCTGCTTGAGAAAAACAAGAACAGCAGGAGTAAATTATAACATGTGAGATAAATGGTGAAGTTCAGGCTCTTTATTTTCTCTACGAAAGAGAAAACATGTCCTGAATCTGCTTAAAATATATCAGTCATTCGTTTGATACGGTCCTTTTAGCTTAACAAACAAAAACAACAACAGCAAAAACAAACATACCATAAAAGACAAGGGCAACTTACGCATATAGTCTCATCATGCATGATATTGTATAGAAAATAACACCGATTAAGGAAAACCGGGGAACTACAATTGTAGTACAACATTGCTAGGGTCAAGAGATTGCAACTACGAATTTAAAGTAAGAATTTACCACACGGAACGATGGAGGACACTTTCGTCAAAATTTGAAATCTGCTGACTTAAATATACTGACGAAATATATTCAGTCAACGTACCTCCTCGAAGTCTTGTCAAAGTGTGTCCAAGCTTTACCTTTTTCTTATTTATCCTGAATGAGTTTCTAATCACATAGCATATGGGAAAAAGCCTTGTGTTGGTTATTAAGAAGAGTTTAAACTACCACTTTAATATAATTTCTCGCTGAGTTTTCCTGCTGTTTAATGGTCCATGTACATTAATTCATGTTAATGGATGCTTCGGTGCGGTATATTTACCGACCTGAAAATAATTTAACAGCGAAATTTCTTTTACCTCAAGGCCACTTAATAGCTTTCAACCCCTCGTCACTTTTGTGGATGACTGCTTGTTACTTTTAGAGAGGTTGGTGATCACAGTAATGTTCCACTTCGGCTATCATCAGTATCCCCCATTTGCCGACTTAAAACTTTAATCCAACTGTTTATCTCATTTAAACTATAGACTATCAACATATACATAGTTATAAAAACATTAAAGCAGATTTTTTCAGGAACGACCGACACAGGTCACAACAATCGGCGACTTTTCATGTAGACAGAGTTGCCATTTTTTTTTCTGCTCGTTATGGCAACCAAAAAGGTCAAAGCATGGATTAAGCCGCTTCTAAATGACAACTTCTACAATCTGCAATATAAATAGCAGCGAGTAAATTAATTTGCTATAGGCAAAGTATGGTACATCTGTTAAGTGTTGAGTTCTTGGTTAATTTCCGATGAGACTCACGCAAAGTATCTTTTTTAGAGACCGGTCACTATTTATCGCGAGGGGGAGGGGGAGGGGAGATTTTGGTTGTGTCGCTATACTTATTGCCTTCCCTAACCCCCTAATATTGGTAAGCAAGACGGCACGGAAAAATTGGCAATTAATGTTAGTCTGCAAGATGGCATAGAAAAATTGGTAATTTCTGTTGGTCTGCAAGATGGCGTAGAAAAATTGGCAATTGCTGGTGGTCGGCAAGCTGGCATAGAAAAATTGGCAATTACAGTTGGTCTGCAAGATGACAGAAAAATTGGCAATTAATATGTTGGTCTGCAAGATGGCATAAAAAATTGGCAATAAATGTTGGTCTGCAAGATGGTATGGACACATTGGCAATGAACACTGCATGCAAGAAGGGTGAGATGGCGTCGTTTTGGAGAAGTATCGCAACTAATTTTGTCTGGGAGTGCAAAAACTAGACAAAAGAAAAGAAGAAAAAGGAAAAAAATACAACAAAACCAAATGGAAACAAAAAAAAATTGAAAAAATCACTCACAGCAAAACTAACAACAACAAACCTTGATTCCAGTTAAATAGATCTTTATTTGTGATAAAAAGCTGCCGATTTTTTACAAACCATTACGCTCGAAGCCCTTAAAATGATCAATATGCGTTCTTTCATTTACAATTTTGCCTATGATCCAAATGTAAGCGCAGTTAGGGTTTTACGAAAATCATTACGAAGTTTTCTACGACCGTGTATGTTAAATATTTTCAAATCAAGAAGTTAGCAAACCCTTGTAACGAAATTCAAAAGATTAAGCACCACTTCGAAGGTCACATTTGTTCTTTGATTTCATTAGTCCGAAAATTTGTCGAGTAATCAAATCACACCTTTGGTAACGAGACTTCAAGAGCGTTTTCTGAGCTATACGAATGTAATCGGTTACTGACAATATATTCATATGGTGAGTTCCAATAATATACAACATTGAATTGGCAACTTGACTTTAGATAGCTACTCCAAAATTTACTCCTTTAGCTTCGTACAACTTCACTGCATTCGATGCTGAGAGGGTTTTCATTACACAAGTCAGCTGCCTCTATACCACAACAACGCTGACCATAACGTACAAATTTTGCGGAAAATACATCAGTTTTACACAGCCTCTTTCCCAGCTTCAATTTTGTTCATCTCCTCTTTGATTTCCAAACATTTCTTCAGTAGTACATCACTTGTTTTCGAAGTAGGTTTCCCAAAGAGTTCAGGGGCTCCAACTTCGCCTTTACTTACGCGGTCAAAAGTGTTCATAAGATCGTAACAAATCGTTTCACTGACAACAGAGTCCTTCTTGTAGTCAGGGTGCACTTCAACAAACCTACGCATCCATTGTGCTGTGGTCAACAGCTCACCTGCCGCAGCGAGAAAAGGATTTGTGTCAGATTTATATCGGTAGAATTTCAAGCCCACCAAAGGCGATGTAGTTAATCAACATCTTGTAAAGATTAAAATCATTTAAAATCAAAAAAGTGGAGTCTGCATTCACAAAGGGTTCGTAAGCAATTCAAGGGCCGAAGACGTAGTCTTGATTTCAGTAACAGTCAGGCCCCATTGAAAAAATCCCTATCTGGTGGATAGTGCAGTACGTCTGCTATCACTTGATCGGCTAGAGAGCGATTTATCAAATAGATAGCGTAACCCCTCTTCATACAACTGGGCCCTAACGGTTATGGTGGCTACTATCTAGGTAATTTGTGTCAGTCACTCACCAGACGCCCTCCTAGAGATGAGCTTCAAATACTGCGAGATGGTGCATCGCGTGTCAATGTCAACATCCACGTTGCTGAGGTAACTCTCCATCAGGGGTATCAGACCAGGGAATTCACCTTCCTGCACAACAACATGATTGGATTTAAATACATACGTGAAACAACAATAACTCTAAAGTAAAGGGTCAAAGAGAGCACTTTTCGTTTTCACCATGGCTCACCTTTCCATTAATTATCTTGTCTATTGTCATCAGTTCATACTCGTCTTTACATTCTTCCAACTCTGGATTCTGAGCGCTTCCATTGGCCGCGGTAGGACCTTGGAAAAGAGAGAGAAAAGTTATAACACAGGTGTTAAATTATCAACGGCCATTTCTCACCCAAGATCTAGAATATTTTTGTCTTAGCTGATGAACATACCGTTCTCCATTGACTGTTTCTGAGAATTCGTTATATTTCAACAAGGTTCCGTGAAGGATAATTTTCCCAAATCTTCTTACCTCTGTGCTTAGAAGTTTATTAAGATTACAAGGCCCCAAAGGTCATGAAGGTACGCCTACTGTCACCAGGCAAAGGAAAGAATAATGCAGACGGTCGAGGGAGGGGAGGATACGAAACATACAACAAAAGACTGACTCGAATAGCTACTAGAGCTTAACCAAGTTTCTAAAGTATAAAGCGACTAAACGTATAGCGCCCCTTCCTGAATGACACAATAGTCAATCGCAAGCAACACGTATGAGTATTCCTGCATTCAGTCAAGTTTGCCTGACTCTTCTTGGGAACCATTTTTATAGCTGGGTGGGGAAAGGCACTAAGAGAGTCAGGTTTATGCATCTTGCCAATGATACAAGTTCTTGTTCAACCCGCAAGTTCGCAACTGTCGACCCTGAGCCCACGGCACTACCCCTTAGTCTACCGCGTCTTCCAAAGAAGGAGTGGGAATTGAGTAACCTTCTGGGATTACGTTGCCTGATGAAGGTGGCACGAGGAAGCTAAGGGTTCAACTTGTTGATGCAGTTGTAGTTTACTGTCATAGTTCTTTTTGTTTATCTTACATTTCTTCAACGTCTTCCTGAAGTAAAACTGGCCTTGGCGGACTGCATCTCTCTTCTGGGCAGTGACCATGTTCTCATCCACCTAGGAATGGAATAAATTAAAGTACGTTAATATGTCGCTGTAAGAATGTGTGTTGTTTTGTTGGTTTTAGTAAAACTCAATATGGTACAGAAAAGAGTTTCATTTGGCTCATGGGTGAGACAAAAAACGCTGAATCCGTGAGGATTCGAACCTCAGTGAATGACGATTTTGTAATTGGATGATCAACCATTGGGAAACAGAGTTTGTCCCTCTCACCAGGCCTCTTTCTACTCGGGCACAGGTGAACTGACAGGAGATCTTCATAAAAATGAAGCTGGAAGGAGGGCATCACCAAAATGCATGTTGTTGCGGGAGAAACCGCGGATTAGGGGCTAGAATTTCTCGGCTAAGAAGTTTCTTGGACTTCAGCTCGAGCTTGGCCCTAAGTAATGTGATTTTTTTTTTCTAATATTGCATTCATAACCAATTGGTTATGGCCTCTAAATTCTCAGACGCGTTGTCTAAACCTACGAACGGGCAAGATCCCTCCCTCACTAGTTGTCTCACGAACAGAATTCCTTTCAGTGTTACCTTGGATAGAGGAATCAGAAGATTGAGGTCGAACGACAAAATAACTCGTGTAAGAAGCACAACAAACGTCACGTAGGCGGCATTCTCGAAATCTGTCAGTTGAACCTGAACGGTTGAAGAATCAAAGAAAAAAACAAAGACATTCATAATCAGAAATATCGGTGACTGAATTACATCCAGTAAACGTTGGGCTACCTTTTTTATATTTTATAAATATGTTCGAAACACCAAAGATACATGTTCAAGTTGCTTATTAACTCTTTAACCCACGAGCGACGGATCAATATCAGTATCTGGGCAACTGCCCACCTACCCCTCCCCTAACTCAACACCAGTCTATTGACAACAACTTAGGGTTAACTGCGCACCCACCCCTCCCTCCCCTAACCCCAAAACAGTGAACTGACATCAAGTCAGGTTTAATGTTGGGTTAGGGGAGGAGTAGGTACACAATTGCTCAGGTACTGTTATCGATCTGGTGTTTCAATATTGAATCCTACCTCAGTTGGCCTAAACTCCACTCTCCATCCGATAGAGGAGTTGGGAGGA